AGGCTTGAGGTTTAGTCTCTCTCTTGTAATTTATTTTAGTTAAGTATGGGGCTCGTTGGGAATTTCTTTTATTATCATGCGCATAATCCCTAATTGAGCTCCACGTCACCGACTCCTATCATGGGACGTGACACTAATTCCTACACTTGCTTTACAAATTTACTTTCAGAATCTATTGAAACCACAAATAAATTAGAAAAGGGGACCGGTGCACATCTTGTCAACAATCCCTAAATGTTCATTTAAGCACACAACGGTCACAATCTTACTCGGATTAAGTGCAGACACAAAATCGAATCTTCGTTACGAGAAAGAGAGCCAAATATACATTATATTTTTAGATGTTTTTCAATTCCAAGTCTTTTTTTCTCTTAAAGAAAACGAAGAGTTTATTTTTCCTTTCATTTTAATTCTTGTGCACAGCACTTGTGGGTCCTTTTTCTTATCTCATCGTGTTCACATCATAATTTATAGCGTATATCCATGCATAAATGAATATTTATCAGTTTTCCATAGTAAAACTCTCTTGTAAAAAAATCGGCATATATAATTTCTACACGCAAAAAACACATGGATGGGACTTAGTGAAGAAACAGGCCATGTATTTAAATATACATACATACATATATATATATATATATATATATATACACACACACCTTTCCTTATTTCCAGCACTTATCAAATGAAAAGGAAGAAAATATTTGAAGCTTTTTCAACATATATACATAGAGAGAGAGAGAGAGAGAGAGAGAGACCTTCAGAGGGATCTGTAATAGGTTGAGTTTGATTCTGAGCTTTTGTTAAACAAACACGGCCAATTATGCAGGCACCTGCATACAAAGTAGAGACAAAAACTGATGATGGTCTTGACATTATCATTTTGTCCTAAATTTCCTTCATTTTCTTTCTCTGAAAACTCAAAGAGAAATGAAAATAAGCAATATAAGCCCCAAAAGACACAGATGATTTATGCCTCCAAATTCAACGTCACAAAAGTAAACAAAAAATAAATTAAAAGCTTCAAGTTTGACGCTCATAGTATAAACACCGTGTGACGCCCGGTAGTCATGAATGTGTTTGGTCGGTCCTTATTTGTTCTCTACTTCTCTAGTTGTGTAGGTCCAGTTGTGACTTTTTATCTCGGCAATATTTATGGACATTTGTGCTCTCCCCTTCATAATTCAGAAAAGTAAAGAAAAGGAGAAAGAAAAAAAAAAAAAAAACAACAACAACAACAAAAACTCTTCAAGTATTCATGTTAATTGGACCTTGCAATTTATTTGACTACAAGAAGAGAAAGAGGGGAAAAAAAAGTTTCTAGCACAAATTAAATCTTGAAATTTTAGTGAATTAGTGAGTTATCCTAAACCTTTTAATTTTACAAATTAAATCTTGAATTTAACAAAATAGTTGTCCCGAATCAATGAAAGATGTTAAAATTTAGCACAAAATGTCTTCATGCATGTGACACGACGTACGACTCTATTGCCTAGCCCGTTTGGTTCATGGATTAGAACCATGAGATTATAACCATTTTCGAGTTATGTGTATTTTTTGTGAGAGAAAAAACTGTAGCAAACCATGAACCATGATTCAAATCAAGGAACGAATCCTCCAACCAAACGGGCTCGACTCTCCACTTTAAAACTGTACGAAGGCATATAAGAAGCTAGTAATCAAATAATTATTTTCTTTTCAAGAAGAAATGCGTCTCCATCGATATAAAATATGGACGAAAGCAAACTATTTTCTTTGGTTAAAAATGATCCTTAGAAAGAAAAAAAAGACCATAAAATGATTTAACACAATTCTAATCAAAATCCAAAAAGATCAGTAAAAAAATTCAAAATCCAAAAAGAGGAGAAAAAAAAAAGAAACTTCATTTTGGCATTAGTTATACCAAGCCGGGATGTAATATGCGATACTCAACTATAGTACTTTAGGGATTGTTCTTTTGAGTGAAAAACTTAAAAAAAAATACAACTTGAATTACAATTTTATTCGAGTTTATGTTCTTTTAAGTTTAAACTCAAGTTCAAACTCGAATTTAGGACTAAAACTCGAGTTCAAGTTTCTCCTTTAACTCGAGTTCAGAAACTCGAACTCAAATTAATGAACAGTATTTTTTTCTATTCTTAAAAATGCTATAACTTTTTCGTTTTAATTCTAATTAAGATGATTTTTTTCTTATGCGTTGACAACCAAAAGACGAATAAAACCCGACTCATATACCCTATTAAAATTTTTCATCAGCATTGAGTTTTTATTAAAATACTATCTAAATATAAATTCAAGTTTTGACTCACTCAAACACAAACTCAAAAAGATTCTTATCTCAAACCATAACTCAAATGTAGACAACCAAACACAAACTCAAGTTACAAGTTCAACTCAAGTTATAACTCAAATTCAACTCAAGAATTATACTCAAGTTAAACTCTAAAAGAACAAGCCTTAAGTATAGATTATTCCAAATTGATGAAAGATATTAAAATTGAGGACATAAATGCATGCATGTAACACGGCATAATCTGTTGTTATCCGAAATTTTGATCTCTACTTTAAAATGACCTCATATGACGTGTACTAAGGCATCTAAGAAGCTGGCAATCATATAATTGCTTTCTTTTCAAGCAACAAAATGCATCTTCATTGATCTAATATGGACAAAAGGAAACCAAGTTTTGTTTGATTAAAAATGATCCTTAAAAAAAAACCACAAAATGATATTTTAACACAATTCTAAATCAAAATCCAAAAGTTCATCAAAAAAAAAAAAAAAACAACATGACCAACAATCAACGAGGGTTGTAAGAGAAAAGAGGTAAAAGAAAAATAGAGAAATGTTTTGAGAGAATAACAAGAGGAAAAGAGAGAGCGTAAAATTAATAAAAGTATTTTTTTTCTTTATATTAATATTTTTTGCTTTATTATTTATTTATTTGTTTATATAATAATATATATATTATATAAATATATATTCCCAATTTATAACGGAAGCTTCATTTTGTCACAAATTATATCAAGTCGGCGTGTAAGATGCGCTACTCAACTTTTATTTCATGAAGTCTTATGGTTAGGTTTTATTATATCTAGCGGTGTTAATTAAAAACGACAACTATTGATATTGACCCATCTAAACTAAACCGAACCAAAGTCGTTAGTATATTATTAGATTGTTGGTCAGTTTTTTGGATCAATTTTTATCAGTAATTTTTCAAAAAAAATAAAAAATTTACTTTTAAAAGTGTATAAATCTAAATCTTTATCATTTATTTTTAATAAATATCTTTTTATTAATATAATTATTTAATTAAAAAAATTATAAATTTTCGTACGAATCTGGGTTGAGTCAATGACGCAGACACCTACATATATACAACGTCAAGATAAAAGCTGACATTTATTGTCTTGACATAACCATGAATTCAGTTTTTTTTTTTTTTTCTATAAATCTTTTATAAAAGTATGCGATAATAAATAGAAATCATATTATTAAGAAAGTGAATTGTTCATACGAACTGACTGTCATCGAAAAGTGGTGGTATTCGTTTCTTCTTCACTTAATAGGTCTATGGTCAGACGTATTTATAGATTTTGCTTAGCAGCCCTTCATGCTGACCTTCTTATTATAGACTTGAAATGAAAACAAAACAAAAAAAAACAAAAAAACAAAACAAAAACAAAAATTAAAATTAAAAAAAAAGTAATGTGTCAGCTAGGAAAATGACTTCTCGTCGTTAAAAATGTATGGGTTATTATTTTGTAACAAAACTCAAAAAAAATTTAAATTCAGATTATAATTTTATTTAAGTTCACGTTCTTTGAAGTTCTAATTTTATTTAACTTTACTCAACTTTATTCAAGTTACAACTTCAACTCAAGTTATAACTCAAATTCAACTCAAAAACTACACTCAAGTTACACTTTAAAAGAACAATCTCAGTTTCTTACATAAGATATTATCAATCTTGAGAGCTTGTCTCTTGTAAAGAAACCAAAATGTTTGGTTATGTTTTCCTCTTGGAGTTGCGCAGAAAAACAAGAAACAAAAACAAAACAAAAAATTATAAGAAAGAAACAAAAAAAAATTTTATGCTTATTTCTACGAAATCAAATTATTTTAATCCTCAGTTTAAAGTATTTCAAAATTTTTAAATAGATGCACAATATGATTAGTAAAACATTTTAAGGCATCGAAATTGAACATCTACGTCCGTATGGATACGTTGACTATGCCCGTACGTATACTGTATAGCATGGTGTATTTATGTTTGTCCTTTGGCCAAAAAAACAAATGTCTTCATTTGACATTTTACGTCTACGTCTCAAAAATAAGCTTTGAAGGACTGATAAAATGTTTTCAGTATTGACGCAGGAGACCAATGATTTTACCCTTTTAGTTTTCAACAAAATAATCAAACTCAAGCAAGGTTACACATTTCGTTTCGCCATAAGTGTACGGCATATGCCACTCCTCAAAAAAAATAAAAATAAAAAAAAGCGTGTAAAACGGCCCGCAAAAAATAACAATAAATACTGAAGAATTAGGACTCGTTTAGTTCGTTAATTCGAGTTTTTTATTCGAATTAATATATAATTTTATGTGAAAACTTTTTATTATAGTAAAAAAATTAAATATGTCTATTTCTGAGAGTTTTTTAATGTAACAAAACTCAAATTTTAAACTCAAATCGGTGAAATAAACGATAACTTAATATATACGTATAATAAGGGAAATAAAAATGTTAAGAGTAAGACGATAATCTTTTTTTCTTTTCTTATTAGTAGTGAAAATGATAATCCTTGAAACTGCAAAAGAAAAAAAAAAAAAAAAAAAAAAAAAACCGAGAATGAACCCAGTATCTATTCTTTTTTCATTTCACTTGGTAACTAAGAGAAAGCCTCTGATTTAACAGGAGATATTAATTAATCAAGGAAACAAAATTGAGCAACTAGCAACTGTTGGCTCATCCAAATTCAAATTAGGTGTTTGTTAACTACAAGTGAAAGAATTACAGATTGTGGGAATACAGTAAAATGCAATCACAAGATACCAAGGAATTAATTGTTATTGCCTTCTAGCAATAGCTTTGCCTCTAAAACAGATGTTCTAACACTTTGTAGTTCTTCCATCTTCTCTGAAATGAAGCATGAATGAGAACCTGTGTTCAGTAACTGCATTGTCTCCTCAGCCGCCAAAGCCTTAGCTTTTCGTAATTCTTCTATCCTTCCCAACTCCACCTGCAATTCTTCCTCCACTTCTTTCATCTCGGCATCCTTCAAATCGGCTTCAAACAGATGCTGAAAGTATTCGACAATCATGCTTTCGATTTCTGCCCTTCCACTGTCTCTCATTTCCAGAACCGTCTTCTTCTCCTTCAGTACACCTTGAAGAGAAAGCTCCATTTCTTCAACAGACTTGGAGCCTTTCTGTATCTCCGATTCAACAGCTTGTATCGCGCTATGTAACTTCATGGATTTCCTGGTCAGATCTTCAACTTCCTTTCTCAGGCCCGCAAGTCTTTCTTGTGATAACTTAAGCTCAGCTTGTAGCTTGGTTTTCTCTTCCTCTGACTTCAGTAACTCAGTAGCTTTACCTCCCAACTGCCAAGTTTTCTGTGGTGGGTCAACTTTTTCAATGTTGTCTATGGCAAAGAGGACCATTTCGTTCTCCTGTTTCCGCTTTTCTTCCTCCAGTTTCAGTCTCAAGCATGCTAGGTGGTTCCTGAATTCAATTTCAGATTGTTGAGTCTTACTCAAAGATGCCTGGATTTCTTCCTTCTCTGCTTGTAGGTGGGCCAACTCCTTTTTCTTTTGCTCCAGATACGATGTCGAAGCATTTACCCTGGAGGTTGCCCGACCTTCTCGTTGCTTAAAGTACGAAACCGATGAGGAAAAACTTGATAACGAGTACTTGAGAGCTGATAATTTCTTTTGAATTACAGCCCTCCTTTCTTTTATTTGGCAAGACTGGAGTTTGAGGGATTCAAAATGCTGCTTTTTGGTCTTAATGGCATCTTCCATTGTTTCAGTTTCTCTTGAGAGTTTGCCTATCTCAGTAACTAATTGCTCAAGCAAACTAAACACAGTTATCGCTTTGGCAGAATCTGCAAGTTGTTTGTCAGCTGTTTCCAGTTTCATTCTTACCAAGTGCAACTCTTCTGAAACCTTAGCTGCAAGGCAATTTGGTGGGTCTATTTCCATAGCAGTTTCTTCAATCGAATCTTTTACTTCCTCACATATAGTGGGATGCTCAAGCTTGTGATCATGCCCTTCGCTCTGTGCATTTAATCCTGGATGACTGGTTTGACCAATTAAATCACTTGCTTCAAACGAAAAAAGAGACTCACTTGTGTTTCCTTCTCCATCAACTTCAACAACCTTTTCTGCACAATCAAACTCTCTTTTGGTTTCTTTACTCTTCTCTCCACAAGAAGAAAGCATTCGTTTGAGCTCATCCCTCTCCTGCATTGCTTTTTCATACAGGCCCATTAACTTTTCATTTTCTTCATGCATTTCCATTAGCTGGTGCTCTAAGTTTTCGACGACTTTATGCACCTCAACCTCGTTGTCTTTGCTAGGTTCAACTGTACTGTGTATTTCACTTCTGTCTTGAGCACTCTTAGGTCCGTCAATGCTTCTGTTGTTGCATTCTGCAGTGGCGCGTTCATAGAGTTCAATGAGTTTGTTGTTATCTTCAATCAAAACCTTAAGCTTCATACGCAGTTCATCATTCTCTTTAGACAAGACAATCGCCGTCTCATGAGCCTCTGCTTCTCTTTGACTTGCCGCAGCAATGGCATCAACCATTGCTTTCAGCTCCATTTGGTCACTAAAATTGATCATGGGCACATCAGTTGCCAAAGAAGGAAGCTCAACTTGCGGTGTTACTCCGTACATAGCTTTTGACAATCTTTCCTCTTCAAGTTTTGCAGCCAAATCATTGACACTCCTGACAGATTTGATAGTTGAATAATTCATTATTAAAACAATTAACATTTCATTTTATATGAAATATGGAAGAAAAAAACAGAAAGAATGAATGGGAAGGAACTCCATGAACAAAAGTATCCATTTCTTTTTCTCTTCATCCTAGTCGACACAAGAATTAAAATTCATTCAATTCATGGACTACAACATAGATGAAGTTGTAAGCATTTACTATACTAGGTTCATACACGTGGAATATGAAAGGACTAAACTACAAAAAATCATTACCTTTCCAATGTTTCTTTCTGTTCAAGGCAGAGTTCCAAGTTCTTTCTGAGTGTGTCCATTTCTGCTTGATTTTGAATGGCCTGCAAAAATTAAAAAACTATAAGAATAAGAACAAAGCATAATTGGCAGATTTTTTTCATTTTGAAGGAATAACTTATTTAAATAATTTACCTCCATTCGAAGAAACTCATTCTCCTCATTGATTGATGACTGCCAAGGCAATCCTGGCTCCTGTTCGGAAAGTAATGCAGAATAAACATTGCTTATTAAGCCTTTTAAATATGGTGCACACGTGTTAGGTGCTGTGAATATTTTAGTCTTTCTGATATTCAAATTCCTCAATCTCAACATTCTATTGTTTATGATGGGCTACTAGCATATTTTCTGAATAAAAGTAAATTTGCAATATGTCTGTCAGTGTCATAAAGATTTGGCAATGACAACAATAGAGTGGAATGCAAGATGAGAAACTCAAGAACATAAAATTTTGCATGTGATACCTAAGTAAATCCAAAGAGAAGTTAGAACTACATGACCGTAACTATGACCGTAATCTATCCTGCAGAATGAAGCTAAAACTACATGGCTGAATAGCAAATACCCTAGTACAGTTATGATGTTCATAGGCATAAGTAGATATCAAGCAATCAGTGCCTGTTCATTATATGTACAAGCAGAACACGTGTTCAGGTCAAAAACGTCTTTTCTAGCAGCTTCAGCATTCAGCTATTTAACAAATTATATTAGTAAAGAAAACATAAAGTTAGAACCTTAACATGAACATCAAGTATTGAAAATGAAACTCAATCCTGTTTCAGCACTAATCACTGAATTCAATATCATACTCATAAATCTACCGTCCATTGCCTCACTAGAATGCTTGTTTTATACGCCATAATTTGTCTTCTCCACTTGGTGGCTGGGATGAAAACAAGCATTCTAGTCTACATCTGTAATTGTACAATACAGTTAATTGTATATAATCTACAATTTCCGTTGTCTTTAATCTCTGCAACTATATACAGTTCTACGATAGACTTTGCTCTCCATGCCCAAGAACATTTGTTTAAAAAGGTAGTCAATTATGTCTATTATTACATGTAATCACCATAAAACGAAAAGTAAAGACGCAACTCATTCAGATTGATTGTTGTTGTAAATCTCACCTTATTGGAAATCAGTAGATCATCCCCATGAAGTTCTTCTGCCACTTGTGAATTTATTTTCTATAGCATAAAATTGACAAAATGTTAGTTTAAAGAAGAAATTTTCGACAAAATACTATGATCCTAGAATTCTACGGTAACATAACAACAAACCTGAAGCATTGAAGACTCTGATTCATGCAAAAGCTTCCAATCCAGAGCTTCTAGTAACTACATATACACTCGCATCATCAAGATTATAAAAAAAAATGGAAATAGAAAAGGGTCGACTATTAACTTTAATTAAAAAAAAAATTAAAAAAAAAAAAGAAATTATTAATGTTAAACTAAATTCCACTACTAAAGTCGATTTCTTTACCTTGTTTTGTAACACTATGATCTGCTCATTCATCATTTCCCGTTCACCTTCCTCGTAAAATGACTTTAACCTGTGGGTTAAACACATGTAAGCAACAGACATTACAATTTGTGCGCCTTATATTTCATTTTGGAAAAAAATAAATAAATAAATAAAGAGAGAGAGAACTTCGTCATTGTTGGAAATAAAGAACTAGAAAAATAACAATTAAGGAAGTGAATAACAAACACTTTATTCCTGAGACTTGAAACCTTTCACATTCTACTGAGGAACTTTTTACTAGGAAAAAACAAAATACAAATTCCTGAAGATCGTGAATTGACCAGCTAAAAGGACTCCAACAAATTTACTTCCCGGATTTTAAATGAACAAAACAAAACATAATTTCATTAGAAAAATCATCAAGTACAAAGGAGACTGAAAGGAGGTTCACAATAACGTGCACATGAACAAAAGATGAATATTAATACATGACTAAATTGAATATTGTTGCAATGAGGAATCGAGCTACATGAAAGAATCCCTTTCCTTACTTCCTTTATTAGCCGCCGACTTCCCATAATAAATCATGACACATTTACTTTTAGATTATAAGTATATATAAAATAATGACACAAGACAAAAATTTAAAAAAAAAAAAAAAGAAGGATATGGTTAGAAGATGTTGCAGAAGAGGATTGAAGTTACATGAAACCAGCCCTCACCTCCTAATCTCTTCCTTTAGCCTCAGATTTTCCATAGCAAACCTTGTCGCTTCTTGGTTACGGTTGACCTGTGTTCGAAGGACCTCAATTTCCTTCAAATGTTCCTCCTTTTCTTTGAGCAAGTGTGTCTCTGCTGAGATCTTTCCAGAGGCAACAGCTTCCAGCCTTTTTATTCCAGCTTCTCGAAACCGTAACCTCATTCTCAGACCTTGTATCTCATCTTCTCTTTGTTTTGCCTAATTCAGCATCAAATATTAATAATAATCTTACAAAGGAATTTAATTGCACAACAAATTAGTATCAACACGTGTGTGTGTGTAAAGACGGAGATACACATAAAAAGAGGCAGTTAATGTCCTTTAAAGATTCTCAAAACAATAGAGGACCTAAGAAAAGTTATAATTAAACTAAACAAGCCTAGAACAAAAAACTAAGGTTTCAATATTGTTCTATATATTTATGAACAAGGTACTTGTTTTCTAGTTATCAATGACATCTACAAGAATACAACTAGCCAAAAGTGAGCAGTAACTTAGCTCATTGTATTAAAAACATCAATAATACAATTCTTTAACACTCACCAGCTGCATAGCTGCTTGACTCTCAGCAGCCAATGCCTGCAGTGCAATGTCTTTATCCTTTTCCCTCCTGAAAGCCCCAACAAGGGCAACTTCATAATCCTTTTTCTGAACATACAATAAACTAAATTATGAACAAGAAATAGAAAAGCCATGTACTTTCTCAAACTCAAGGAAGATTGTTCTGCACCTGAGACATCCTTTTGCTAGAAGTAAGTGGACTAAATGACCCATTGGGTCCCTCCCACTTGAAGCATCCTGGAGATCCTGGAAAGCTTATTGCCAATGATTCATTATCATGCGTTTCAGCCACTCCATTGACTAAGCCTTGCAACCGGGATACTTCTTTCTACAGAAAGACAATATATAACCGAAAGCAATAAATTATTGTCACGTAACTTCCAGATGTGGATCAATTATACCAGAAAATTGCTGATCAGCTTGATCTAGCACTTCAATAAAATAATCAAATGAACCATAGTTATTGATTTAACTGAAAAGCAAAGCAAATATCATGTGACATATGCATTGACTTTGACCTTATAAGAAAAAAGGAATATTAACCTACTACGTTGCAAGGGAACATGATGGTAAAACATCTAGAGCACCACAAAAATCCATGTTCCTTTAACAATGAAAGTGCAATCCTCTATTGCACTAAAATAAAGCATTTAGAGGAAGGAGGTGTTTCACCGGGGCAAAAAGGTATGATAAGCAAATCAGCATTAGCCAAAAAAAAAAAAAAAAAAAAAAAAAAAAAAAAAAAAAAAAAAAAAAAAAAAAAAAAAAAAAAAAAAAAAAAAAAAAAAAAAGAAAAAAGAAGAAGTAAAAAGAATAAAAAGATGCATCTCCAAACAAAAAGTTTTCAATGGAAAATGGTGTAATTAACCAAATATTTTTGTCAAATAATTACACCGTCTAATTCAGTTTGTTACTTTACTTTGCAAATATAATTCTCAATTCAACCAGAATTTTATAACTCGATCAGATCATGGCAACAAAAAAGTCAATACATAATGGATTCAAATAACACCTTAAGTTGTTGAATTGCAACCTCATGGAAAATGGTGCAATTAACCTAATTTTGTTGTCAAATTATACTGTCTAATTCAGTTTGTTACTTTGCAAATATAATTAACCAGAATTCTATAACTTGATTGAATCGTGGTAACAAAAAAATCAATAAATAACAACGAATTCAAATAGCACCTTAAGTTGTTGAATTTGTATTCTCATGGCGATGACATCTCCAGAAGCATCCTCATTTACAAATGCCTACAAACAAACAAGAGCTTTCAATTAAGCGGCATCTGACACACCATAGTAGCCTTGCAAGAATAGATAATAAAAAAATTGAAATGTCAAAATCCGATCTATTGGAATTTCAAGCCAATCCATCTTAGCGTACTTTTACTAATCTATTTCCACCAAAATTAAAAAAACTGGAAAACAAATAATTGAACGTAAATCCTTTAATGAACAAGTGACTTACATTATTCTTAATAAATTTTGCACGTTGAGCAAATTTCAAAGTGCTCAACGTCTCCAGTGAGCAACTGAAAGGACCCAAACAAAAGTTAAATAAAACAAGAAATGATTGCAAATAAAACTTCAAGGTTAATTAACTAGACAAGGAACATAAGAAAAGGAAGGCCAAGACCCAAAAGAAGAAGCAAAAAACAAGTATAATGTGAAGGCTAAAGAGCGTGAAATGTTAAAAAAATAAAAAATAAGATCACTCACCAACTAGAAGGACTGATATTTGAAATGATAATAGTCTTTGAATTTCCTCCTAAAGAATCCTGAAAAGGAAACCAATGTTATCACAAGCTTGCAAAACTCGTATAAAATTCTAGCAAGAATTAAATTACTAATATTTTCTATTTATCACACATATTGTTTTACTAACTAGCCCAATGAAGTCCGAATACAACAGTCAGGTTTAGAAAGCATAAATTGATTGCAACAGAATTCCCTTGTAGTTACGTAATTATAGTCATAATGTTGAACCCTTTACGAAAAATAACTGAATCTGCACTAGAAGTACCAACTTATAGAATAGCCAATTACCTGAAGCAAAAATGTTAGCTTTGAGTCCCGGTAAGGAACATGGAGTGATTTCCCATTTGATATATTTACCAAATTCATAATCACAAGTCTGCAAATTTTCAACAAAAGAGTAGTGAGAACCCGCCACTTAAAAAGTTTCACTGTAAAGGATAAAGTTTAAACATAAATGAAGAAGACATACCCCAGCGTTGAAAGGGACTTGTTGATATTAGTAGCTTCCTTCAGACGCTCACCTTCTGCACCAGAACTCTTCTGCCTGTAATCAATATACATAACATCAAAAAGATAAAATCTGAACTTTATTTGTGAAACTCAAATTTTTTTTTTTTTTTTGAGTAAGGCTCAAAGACTATTTTTACCTATAACAACTTAATGTTTTTGGAAAACACACAAAATAAAAGAAAAAGAAAACCTATATGCATTTTCTAGAAAGGAATCTAAAAGTTTTCTTATTTACACACAGTTGCATATATTCTACACTTTTACTTGACATAAGGAGAAAAGTTGCAACATCAAAAGACAAGACAGCCTCTACAAGTCCTCCCGGGTAAAAAGATCAAAAATTTGATTTGAAAAAAAAAAAAAAAAAAAAAAAAAAAAAAAAAAAAAAAAAAAAAAGCAAAATTAAGACAAGATCTACCTTTCAGATCCGGCTAAATCAACGAGATTAAGACGAGCAAATCGATGGTGAGTAACACCTTGAGATTCCCACTAATAACAAGAAACCAGATAACATCAAAAACAATTGGGAAGAAAAAGAGATAGGTAATAACATGGTAGAAGCTATTAAAACATTTGTATAGAAGATAGTACCGTAGTAGTGTGTGTAACTCACCTTACTTTCAATTATGCATGTGAATACACTGTGTGAACGGCTACTAGCTCGATTCATATTAGTGGCAGCAACCTTTCTATTTGCTGAACCCTGAAATATAACAAGATTTCATCTTAGTGGCAGTTACCTTTCTATTTGTTAAACCCTAAAACGTATCACGATATCATAGCATATGAGTAATAAAAATAAAAAATAATTAAAAAAAAAGTGTTCGTGGTAAAAAAAGAATGGTTCATGAGATTCTAATATAGGATATAGAAGGCTTCTCTCTTACCAAACCAAAACAATGGTAAGGATTCAAATTATAACAGTGAGTTCCAAGAGATGCTCTTTTTTTAATAAAAGGAAAGGTAGACATTATTAGGGATAACTAATTTAAACATTTTCGAAAGCTGAATAGACAAGAACATAAGAGATGATGTTTAATACTTGGATAAGTTGTTGCATAACATCTCGAGCACTTGTGGCTTCTACTTCCTTAAGATTTTCAACATAAACTCCTTTCTTAACGTCTTCTCTTAACTGCAACATAACAACAATATTTGCAATGAGCTTTGCTAAGTGAAATATACACATCAAAACAAAACATGTATAGGGATAAAAACACCATAAGTATTTTATAGTAAAAAAACTGGGAAGGGTAAGAGAAAGATTTACATTAGAAATAAAAGTCTCAACAGTTAATTATCTATACCTGCAAATTGGTGGATGAGGGGTCCAAAAGATCAAGAATTTGTTCGTTGTATATCTCCAGAAATGAGCATTTACAAGTAAATTTTAACTTTTCATCTCTACGGTCCTCTTTTTCCTGTGCACCACAATTGCACCAATAAAGTTTCCATTAACATTTGGATTCCTATGACAAATGTAGAAACGAAAAACAAGTAATTTCATATAACATAAATTGTCAATCATTGTATACCAACTAGGATATATTTCTGTTATCCAAACTATTATTTTATTCTTCTTATTGATGTATGTTTTTCTCGGATGTTTAAGTTATGTAAATTCAAGCATAATTTTCATGTTTCCACATTAAGACAAGCCATGGATCAAAATATCTGAGTTGTTATTTGGACAAATAGTATAGAATTTAAGGAAGCCATATTATTTACTTTTTCAACATAGAAAAATGAACGGGCATGACTCCATTATAACCTTTATGAAAGAAATAAACCTCATAAAAGCTTTAGGATAATGATATTGCTGGGCATATTTAGCGATAAAGTGCTATTCTTGAAACCAGGAGAAATCCTAGAAACGGTAATATTATGTTTGAAACTACAAAGCATGTACTCATGAAAGTATCTGAACAAAACAAATCTCAGCTTTAAACATCCCTTCCTAATTAATACAACAGCATAGATATGATAAAAACAAACCATTCGTTTAACTTTTTGACTAGTTATTCATTTGGTCATAAATTCGGTAAGAATTATGTTATATGGTTCACTAATGATAAGTTATAGTTCATTGCTTTGTATTAGAAACACGTTTAAGCAATTTCATTATCATCCTTATAATCCAATTGGAGTAGCTGTAGGGCTTTGCAGAAGCAGAAAACCACGGACCTTTTGAATTCTTGAAAATAAAAATTCAAATACTCTAGGTGTCATCCCACAATTGACACTGTGTCTTCGAGTGCCTCCTTCAATGTCTCCAAGCATTGTGTGAGTCTTACCACTTCCAGTCTAAAATTTCAAAAAATAATAATAAAAAAAACATAAATGAGCTACCATACAATTTGTGACTTGCTATATGGTCATCATTGTACACAGGCTGATTAAGTTGAAAACATCATATTAAAAAACTAACTGTGCGGAACTTCCAGATTGAGGAAATTTTTGTTTCCATACAGGTAAACCAAGCCATGGAATTTTGAGGAGAAATTGTGGACTGCAAAAATGCAGCGGAGGAGGATAGAAACTCACTTGGCCATAGGCAAACATGCAGCTGTTGTAACCCCCCATGCAGTTGTCAACCATGGGAACTCCGGCCACTTTGAATAGTTTCTCCTGTTCCCCAACCAAATTGAAGTTATGGCACAGAAAAAAGCCACCACAAACACCAAGCAAGCCAACTGAAATTTTACCTGGCTAACATTCTCATCTGCAACGACATCAAATGTAAAACGCGACTCAGGATGCCCTGTCCAAGTAATAGTTTGGCAGCTCTCCTGACGAACGCATTTCGAGTAGCCTTGCAATGATATCTCGGTACTACTAAGAGGGCGAATCCTTATTATGACCTGCATACAGATTCAACATACAACAAAAACCACTCAAAGTCCCAGAAGCTAATTGACCTTGCACTCATGCTAAAAATTATTCAGGGAAAAACTTATCTTCTTAGCATCTCTGATACAATTATTTATCATTCTCAATTAATACCATATGCCATCATCTACGCTTGAACAGAAAAATGTAACAACTGACAATTGACATGACAAACTAAACTGAACATGAAATCCCACTTCCATGTTAAAACTAACAATAAGATTACAGTAATAAAAGCATCAGAACAGTTATCCACTTTTATTAGAAGGAAAAAAACAAAAGAAAAGAGAAAAAGACACAGACACACGCAGAGGTTACCAGTAAATTCCACTTCAAAATCGATTACAAGCATTTCAAAATTCAAAACTGAACATGCAAACGAAATAGCAGCACTAGAGCACTTAAAAGCCATCTAATTAAGCATTAGAAAATACATTAAGTATAGCTCAAAACCAAACATAAAAAGCGAACATATACCTTAAATGTAACACTAAAAGACCAGCAATCAGAAACACTGTATAATCAACGCTAAAAGGCACAAATAACCAGAAAACTCGACCTCCAAAAGAACGCAATCATCCAATTACCTGCACATTGTGATCCTTCCAGAACGACGGGTCCTCGGAAATCTCGAAGCTCTGGCTCGACGACGCTGCATTGCCGCCGCCAACTCGAACATCATCATCATTATCATCGAAGCAGCGTCGGATGCTCCGAACAGCCGAATCTTGAGCGAGATTCTCTCTGAACGCGGATCTGGAAAGATCCGGAGTGCTCCGAACTGAGGGCAGGGGATCGGCCGAGTGGTCCTGGAACCCAAATCGGCTCTTGATAGCACTAGCAGCGTCTGATATGAAAGGCATTTTCTTCGATTTGAGCGGAAGAGGAAAGCTTGGAGCTTCGCAATGGAGGAAATTGTTAGGGCCTGAAGTTTGGAGGAGAGTGAGAGAGTGATTGGAGAGCGATAAAATTTTGTGGTAAATTTTGAATTTGGGAGAGGGAGGGTTGGGAAAAAGACTCGAGATCGGACAGCTGGGAGTAGTCTCAATGGACGGTCATGATGGGGTCGCTTCAAATAAGTTTACGCAACGTTCTTGTATTTCAAAATTTTGGACTGGAGCCAACGTTATAATGCTCGAAATTACGTATATGTCCTCGACGTTGACGGCGGCTCAGGTTCTTTCTTTTCTTATTTATTTGGATTTCTTTTATTTATTGGGATTTTCTTATACCCCATTTTTTAACCACCGGTAGTTCTAAGTAATTAAAAAAATAAAAAATTTACTTCTAAGGTTAACATGAAAAGTTTAGAATTTATTCTAAATACACAAAATAGCAACCTTGAAAACATGAAATACAATTTTAAAATAGAGATCTAGCATTAAAAACATCATGCATATAAAAGATCTAACATTTTAAAACACATATAACACAACTTGGTAAACGATCCAAACTTTATTCTTAAAGTTAAAAGATAAGATAAGTTTTGAAAAGTCTTACCACAAGACTTAGGAGAGGAAGGGTTTTTACTACCAAAATGATAAACTCCTATATAGGTTCAAACCTTTAAAGAAAGTTAAAACTTTGAACAAAGGATATCAAAAGAGAGAGTTTTGATCTTTATTCTTGAAAATGCTAAGAATTCCTACACAAATTCCTTCTCCTTCTTCTACATTATAATTTGAAGTCTTCCTTGAGTGAGAAGAGAGAAATTTTTTTGAGAGAGGGAGTGTGGAAGGTTTGGCCAAGAGAGAGGAAAAAGGGAGAGAAAGTGTAGAAAATTTTGAGAGTAAAATGGTGAAAATATGCTTAATTTTAAATGGTGGTTTATATTAATAATTGGTTAATTATACTTAATCATAATTCTTAAGCTTCTTATGCTTACTAATTGGACAAAAATTTTGATTAACCATGCTAATTATGGGTTGCCCAAGATTAAGAGAAAATGAAAGAGAGAAATTTCCTTAATTAAGACTTGTAACCCTTTTCAACTCAAGGTCAAGTCAAGTCTCATCCTTGTCTCTCGCTAAAGTCTTCTCTTATCACATTAAGTTTATACTGACAGTGATTTTTAGATCAGTTTTTCAGACAAATGTTTTCCGACGATTTTCAGTCAACTGTTTAAATCACAGTCTAAACTATACTCATAAGAAATTAGTACCGGTTTTAGATTTAAAATCGTGTAGATTATTCAGGCTGTCTTCAGATTTTAAAATTTGTCTTAAAATAACTAAAAATCTTAGTTTAGCATACATGTCTTAACTCTCAGTAAAACGTAAAAATCGACTGTGTCAATTTTCAAGTTCAGCTTTACGATTCTACCGAAAACGCGACTTGCATGACACCGATTTACTAATGGGCAATTAAAGACTTCTTTAAATGTTAAATTACTTTCAGAGCACTGCCACAGTACTTGAAAATTCTTGTGAACAGAATTACGAGCCATAGTTGAATAGAAAAAAATTTCTCCCATCTTAGACTATGGTTAGGATTATCGATCGAGTCATAATATAAAAATTTTTGACATAAAATTTTTATATAGAATTTTAGAATAATATCATAAATTCCATAAATCCTTCGTTACAAAACATATCATTATTCAGGAAGTCCACGATTTAATTACGTAAATTACATTAATTAACATCGAGATTTTATTACAAAATAAAACCGCCATTTTTCAAGTCGAGACTTTCCATCATTTTCAGGGATTCATAGAAATCAAACATGGTAAGTATATATATACGATACAAAAATCACCAGAACACACATTCACATCAAGGAGTTTTCAATCAAACAAACTTCCCAATCAACGGCAGTGATATTAACTAGAATTTTGAGCAAGGAAGCGCTTGATAATCAACATAAGTTCGTTTGAATGTTTTGAATTGGGATCAATAGTGAAGAAACCATGTTGTAGTCCTTCAAATTCCACATACTCAATCTTCTTTCTCCAATTTTTGAGTCTTGTTGCATATTCTTCAACTCTGTCTTTGAGCAGGTCACTTCCCCCAACCACAACCAAGATTGGGTCAAGATCCACTCCTTCAAGGCTTGGGCTTGATGGCCCAAATGGGTTCACAAGTGGATGGTCTCTCGTTTCTCCAATTGGTATAGATAGCCTCCAAAACCTACCAAATTTTTATATTTCAAAGTTACTTAGCTTCCACCAAGAAGAAAACAAAAATTTGCCCAACTAGGGATTAAAGAATTATGGGCCCGTTTAGTTCGCTGATTCGAATTTTTAATTCGAGTTGAGATGTGATTTTATGTGAGAGCTTTTTACTGTAGCAAAAAAGTTAGATGTGATTGTTTGTGAGAGCTTTTTACTGTAGCAAAACTCAAATTCTAAACTCAAATCAGCGAAATAAACGGGACCTATATATATGCACATATTTTACGTGGTTTGTATTATTGATTCCTAAACTACAAGAAAATCACAATATAGTTTACATTTTTTCTGATTATTATTATTTTTTACAATAATTTTAACTCAAATCAAAATCTAGATCCAAAGGAATACACGTAATTTTAGTTTCTAGCACTAAATTAAACATACGTTTCAATTTAGCAGAGACAATTGAGTTTTTTTTTTTTTTTTTTGTGCATTGAAACTGTAATTTTACAAAGTAGCAAATATTATGCAAAAATATTTCTTGTATGTTTGTTTTTCACGACTCAAGTTAAGAACTTGAGTTGTTTATGTGAGAGAAAACGCTATAGTAATAAAATTTTAATTGTGACTTGAGTTGTAAAAAGAATAAGACTTTTTCTTTAAAATTTTCTTTTTAAAAAAAAAAATTTAAGGACATTATTCTGTGACAATTTTTCAAAAAAAAAAAAGTTTCTTAACACTATTTGAGAATATATCATTATTTTCAATCCTTTTTTTTTTTTTGAATAAAAGCTATTCACCATAGTTTATCTAACTCTATTCCCTTCATGTAGGGGGAAAAAAAAAAAGCAAAAAAAAAAGAAATATTAGCAAAAATGAAAACCAACCTATCAATGAATTAGAAGGAAAAATAAAAAAAAATAAAAAATAAAAAATAAACCTATCAATGAGCTCCCAATTGAGAAAGGCGTCCTTTGGACCCTCGGCCTCCGACTTGGACCTAACCGTCCCACCAAAAAACGGCGCCAAAAGCACATAACCCCTTATTCGAACCGGTCCCAACTCGGGCGATCTCGCACCGAGTCGAACCGCCAAATTGTGAGCTATATTCCCACCAGCCGAGTCACCAGAAACAAACACGTTCCCATAATCCGCCACGCGGCTCAGCCACTCGTCCGGCTCCTCCGACTCGGCTTGCGCCTGGAGCCACTTCACCGCCGCGAAGCCGTCCTCTATAGCTGCCGGGAGCCGATTCTCCGGAGCGAGCCGGTAGTCCGGGGAGACGACCACGGCTCGGAGCTCCGAGGCGAGCCGGAAGCAGTAGTTCTGGCAGTTGGGCCAGCCGCGGGAGCCGATGCAGAAGCCGCCGCCGTGGATGTAGAAGAGGACCGGGAGCTTGGCACTGGCAGGGGACCGAGCCGCCGGCTTGTAGAGCCGGAGGCTGAGGCCGTGAGCCGGATCGAATTCGACGTCTTTCCATAGGACGGAGCCGTCGTCGTGGACCGGGACGTCGAAGCTCGGCTTGGAGGAGCGGACGACGGAGCCGTCGCTGTACACGCGGAGGACGCCGCGGCACTCGTCGACTTCGTACGGCGGAGGAGTGCTGCCAGAGGACATGTCGTTTTAGTACTAATTAATGGTTGTGTGTATATATATATTTTTTAAGGTTGTGGAGGGCTTGATTTTATACGGAGAAGATTAGAGAGTGTTGGAGAGAGACGACAACGAGAGAAGGTAAAGTTTGGAGTTTAGTGTTTGGCATTTGGTTTTTGTAGTTTTTTTTTGTTTGTAATTTTCGTGGTGACGTTCGTCATATGTATGAATATGGATGATCATATTGGATTAAAGTAGAACATCGTCTACGTGTATTTAGATAAAACTTTGTCTTATATTTTGTCATGACATGCGTGATGATGCTAATTATTGTTAATTTAAGGAGACTTAGAATAATGTCACCTATAAGCGCTCATTTTCATCTCAGTAAAGTTAAAACTCATCTACTCACATAAAGTGGAAACCATTAAGAGAGTAAGTGAGAGTCAACTTAATAGAACATGTCGCTTTATTGAGTATAGAGTTTTATATGAATCGAGATAAATATCATTTTTCTATCATCTGTGGGGAGTCTTCAGAGTTAAAAAATTACTACATTTTTTTTTTAAATTTATGCTTAATTTTATATCAAATTAGTATAAATGAATAACGACGTTGGTACACCCCAATTTACACCCAATTTTAAGCATTACAGAACTATATTTTTTATTGAGAGAAATGTTTGGTATGATTTCTTTTTTTTAATCGCTCCAATATTATGAAATCTCTTACCTAATCTATTTTCACTTCCTTTCTTTCGGATCAAATAATTATAGGTCTTAAAATCCTTCCACTCATTCTATCATTCATTTAATTTTTTCCCCTACCAGTTGACAAGCTCTTAGGGTGTGTTTGGTAGTGCTTCTTAGAGCCCAAAATCACTTCTCTAGCAATCAGAAATTAATAATGGTGTTTGGTAAAAATCATAAAAAAGTGATTTTTAAAGAATTTTGAAAGAATCTACAACCAAAATCAGAAGCAACCCAAAAGCAATTTTGAATTTTAGATTATGCAGGAATCAACATAATACAATTAATGATTATCAATAAAGTTATATTAAATAATTAATAATTAATTACTAATTATATTATATATTAATTAATAATTAATAACAAGATATACTTAATAACTAATAAATAGACAGTAATTACTTAATTATTAATTAAATATTAATTTATTACTATTAAGTTTTTAATTTTATTAATAAAATAATAAATGATATAGTAATTATTTATTTAGTTAAAGATTAATTGTCAAAATTAATTATATAACATATTAACAATAAAACAAGTAATAATAGGTTATTAAGTAAATAATTAATATATCAATCGTATATTATGTTAATTATAATATATTAATTAGTAGATAGTTAGTAAATAAAAAATGAATAGTAATTACTCAATTAATAATTAATATTAAATTATAATTATGAATATGTAATATATAAATCAATAATAATTAATAATTGATCATTAGTAATTAATCATTATAAAAAGAATAATTACCAATATTAATAAATTATATATATTAATTATTTTTTTAATACACTAATTAATTACATATAATCTAATAAATATGAGTGCATTACTAACATAGTAATTACTTATAATTAATTACTAATTACTATTTTTAATTATTTAGCATATCAATTTATTATATATATAGTTTAATTAATAATGTACTCATTAATGGTAATTTATCAATTATTAATATATTAATTTTTATTTGTTAAATAATTATCAATTATTAATTACTTTATATATTAATTTAATATTATTAATTATGGTCATCTTAACTACCTACAACAATTTAACTTCACAATTTATCAAACGCCATTACATTGCTTTTGGAACAAGCAACACTTGTATGATTATAGTTTACCAAACACTCAACTGTTTTTTGTAACAGTTGTTTTTTTCTTCAACACAGCTAAAAATAATTTTTTCATAATTTACAGCATTACCAAACTGGCCCTTAGTCTTACACTCTGTTTGGTAGGAAGGAAAGAAAATATGGAAGTGATGGAAAATAGCAATGATGGAAAGGAAATTAATTTTCTTTTATGTTGTTTGGTACGAAAAGATAGAAAGAAAATAAGCTTACCTTCACTTGTTTGGTATTGAAAGTTAAATTGGGAGGAAAGATAAAATATTACTCGTAAATTACTTTTATACCCTTAAATTTTTTGTTTTGATGTTGATAGAGAAAATTGTAGTTTAATAACTTTACTCACTTTAATTAGTTGTCTCCATTTTCCATTCCATTTTCCGCCCACTTGTGGAAAGAAGAAAAATAGTGGGACCCACATGTATTATTTTTCACTCTATTTTCTCTTCATTTCTCTTTTCTCTGACACCAAATAACCTACATTTTCATTTTCTCTCTCAAAATCTCTCCACCTTCTTCCTTCCTTCTACTTTTCTTTCCTACCAAACATAGTGTTAAAGTTAAAGATCAAGAGTGTTCGTGGATATTCATTTGTCTCACTCTCCTTTCTGAAGGAATATACACCTTTTTTTTAGCTGGAATCTAAAATAGGATTGCAAATATCCTCGTAAAAAGGAATTACAAATTCTATTGCGTGGACAATCAATGCTGTGTAGTAGGGGAATGCATGGGTTAGTTTGGGCAGATTGGATAACCACTTCCCAAATGAGCCTGTGCTATTTAGAGGCCGTTTGGTAAACATGTTGAAGTGGTTTGAATTTTTGGCAAACAATTTTTGAGACTCTGTTCAAACCAATTATTTTTTAGGCATATTACGTTTTGAACTTATTTACTAAACGGCCCTTAGTTGTGAAATTCTCAACAATGACAACCACCAATCCATTGAGGATTGATTTTGGTAAATACTTTACTAATCCTTTTTGCTAGAGTGTAACTGCACCAAACCAACCAAAAAATTTCTTTCTGATAAATAGTTTTATCAAGATATTATTTTCAATATAAAAAAACTTATTAATGTCTCTCTCTCTCTCTTTCTGGTCGAGAGAGGAGAAAATGAGAATAAAAAATGAAAAACGACTAAAAGTCATTTTTCATTTCTCTCTCATTTGACACTAAAATAAAAAATCATTTTCATTTTCATTTTTTATTTTTATTGCGCCAAACGCCATTTTGAAAATATTTTCATTTTTTCTTTCTCAAAAAACGTGAAAAATAAAAACGGGATCAATTCCAAACACGTCTTTTGTTTTTCTGTTTTTTTTTTTCCTTGAAACGAAAATCGACCCCTACGGCTACAACAAGAGGTCACTTTCGGTTTTTCAGACAACAACCATTGACGACGATGTGGCACCCAGCCACTAGTTTCAGTGCCGGTAGGTTTAGCATGTTCTAGCGGGTTTTTCCAACACAGCCCTAATCAACAGAGTACTGTTGACAACATGGAACAACTAGAACTTTCATGGTTTCAACAAATGAACAAAAGCTTATTGAAGAGTAATTTCACCCCAACAATGTATCAATAGATTTGAACAAGGATCCAAAAGCTACTCTAAGCAACTATTAACAAAGGAGAATTAAGTGGTTACCTTATCAGTAGGGCACACTATCTCAATTTAAAAACCATCAGTTTTTCATCAAGTTCTGTTAAATTATCATATTTTTTTAAATCTAATGTGATTTGACGTGAAATGACGGTTCAGAATCGTGTCTTTCCATTAGGGTATTCTTTGAAACCCCACTACAGAAGTTTCTAAAGAAAGAGCAGCTCATCTTCCGCAAAGTCACAGAAGTTGCACCATCACTGATTATATGACATTTTAATGAGAGAACCTTTAACACCTATACTCTTTTCCAGCTGTGAGCATTTAATCTGTTGTTTCTGCTCCTCATGAAACTCATGTTGTGGCATGAAGGCTCTGCATTTCTTTGGACTTTTGAGGGTATTGGCCTAATCTAGAACATCAAGAGCTTTTAAAGGTAACATCATCTGACTCTAAAGCACAGTAGCTTACATGGTTTATAAAAGAGTTTCTTTCGACTGGTTCAGTATTGTTGTGCTTCTTAAAGAATCTTTGGCCCCGTTTGGTACACGTATTTGAACTCATGATTCTGATTCTGCTACAGTGTTTTCCTCTCATAAAGAATTTGAATCAAAAAAATTCCTGTCAATAGTTTTCTCACAAATAATTTGAATATGAATTAGAATCAATGATTTGAATGCGGTAACCAAGTGGGGCCCTATTGTGCCTCTCTTCTACACTCCTCTGTCTTCGTAAAAAAAGAAGATAGAAAATTAACATCAAAAATCAAAATTTAAAGTTTGATATTACCTCATTGCTGTCCGTTAAAAACTACAATTTTACAGGGAGAAAGGGACTGCAAAAAATGCCATTAAATTATACTTGAAAAAAAAAAAAAAGTATATATAGATATCATACAAATTGGAAAATGAAGAATTATGCTAGGCAACAAAAATCACAGAAACAAGTTCATAATCGTCGAGAATATCCAGAGCCTGCACATTTCTTACAGAGTATCAACCCTACAGAATGAAAATATTAAAGCAGCTCAGAATCTGAAATATTCTTGAAGACATGAAAAGTTTCAGCTTATGCCTAAATGCGATGTTATATGTCACTTGTAACCAAATAGTACGAGTTAAACTAGACAGCATCTTCTTTGGATTTCTAAGGGTAAATATATATATATACATATTAAAAAAGTCAATTTTTATTTCAGTGTAATGCCTATTCACTTAAAATTTCCAAAACAACAATAATGTGTCCATTTTTGGATTGGATCAAAGAGTAAACATATTTTTCTACACACAAAAAAAAAAAAAGCGAATCGAAGTTTAGAATAAGTTTGTGTTTTGAACTAATAAAAAAGCAAACGGAATCAACTCAGCAAATCAAAATGCTGGAAAAACACATAACATATCAGAATCTAATACCTGCACCCTTGCACACCTTACAATCAACCAATCCCGTCTCTTGTTTCATCTTACCATCATTACAGAAAACACATTTTGTTCCACCTGCCAAGCAGAGAGAAAGTTTAGTATTTTTCCTTTGAACATGCAAAAGAGAATCACGAGACACCGAAGAGTAAGGAAGCATAAAAAGGCCAGACAGGTTTAGTCAAATTGACTACGAAGACGGAGTGAGCCCATGCTAGAAAAACAAAAACAAAAAATTGACAAGAGATGCAGAAACACAGAAGGAATATTGGAGAACTCCATAAATAGGATCTATGACAACTAGCATCTCATATTGTTAGATATTATTCTATATATTACGTGCCAATCGTAACAGGAAATTTGGAGTATGATTAAGAAATAATCATTAAAATTGAGATAATATGGTTTATTGATGCCATCAGCGAGTCCAATATATCCAGCACTAAGTTACACAAATCTCAAACTTAAAAACTTATGGTTGTGTAGCGATTGCGGTCCTTAAATTAGAAGGCGCTTATTGGCAATCATATATTGCCCATAAATCATGAACTCAAAAGACGATATGATGGCAAAAATCAAGAACTGCAAATATTAGAACGAGATGTGAACCTGAATTATCAAGTAACATGAAGATTGAAGACTAATGAAAAAAATTTACCAGTTCAATGAATAAACCTATAGCAAGTTGCAAAGCCAATTTTAGCATACTGTTAATTCATCAAAGCACTTGAGGTACTTAAAAATTTGGCAAGTCTTCTTCCAAAGATGTCAAATGCCACTCAGCTCAAGTTTTTCCAACAGATGTACGATTCAATTAGTAAAAGAAAACGACAGAAAAAGGCTCCTTTTTACTTGTCAAGAGGTCAAGTCAGGCGATCTTGTGGATTAGAACCATGAGATTATAACCATTTTCAATTTACGTGTGTTTTTTGTGAGAGAAAATACTGTAACGAACCATGAACCATGATTCAAATCAGAGAACGAATCCTCCAACCAAATGGGCTCGTCCTTCTCTGGCCACAAAATTATTGCATACCCTAGTGTTAAAAATGATCCCGAGAGAATGTCACGATGAACAACAACATATGTGATTGTTAATTAGTCTCCCACATTTTAATTCACTAAATTTTTCTTCTTTCAATTTAGAACTCTAGCAAGGGATTCTAAAAACCAGTTTAGAACGCGGTTTTCAATCATCATACCTTCGTCAAATTCTCATATTTTTCTTAATTTTATACATTAATTTAATATGATTCTAATATAATATCTGCTCCAAAACTATGTCCTACTCAAAGAACTAACATCCATAAGCACAACTATAAATTTTAGATAATAATAAAAATAATAACAACAATGATAATAGTAATAAGCATAATTCTAAAACTAAAACACCAAAACATAGAAAAGTAACATACCATTTCCGGCACAGCGCTCACAAGGCACTGGATCTCCCTGCAAAACAACCACAAAACTTACTGGCCTTAAAACTAAAACCCCATTTCTCAGAAACAAAATTCCTTTTCCTGGGAAACAAACAGAACGAATTTGCTTGCTACTACCTTAAGGCCAAGAAAGAGAGAAAGAGCAATGGTGGCGAGAACACTGATAGTGGCAAGAAAAGTTTGGGTATCCAAGGAGGTCTCAAAGCGACTAAAGAGCAAAACTGGGTGAACGACAAAGAGTCGGCTGGTGGGTTGTATGTTTCCGAGTTTGGGTCTCATCAGCGTAGCGGAGAAGCGAGACAGAAGTGGAAGTTCTGGGTTTGGTGGGTAATGAGGTGAGAGAGAATGGGTGGCAGAGAGAGAGGTTAATGGTGGAGAAGATGATGATGAAGAAGAAGAAGAAGAAGAAGAAGAAGACGAAGAACAGAGCGGTTGAAGAGAGTAGTAGCAGGAGAGCGTAGCCATGGATAGAAAGAAGGTGGAATATGTGGAGCTCAGTTCGGTTTTGGTCCTTTGGGCTGTTCGTTTCCGCTCTGTCTTTTTCTCACCGTGCCTTACCTTAAACAACGGATTATTATTATTATTATTATTATTATTAATTATTAGGAGTTTCTCCCGTCAGTCTCGTAAAGAGTAGCCGTTTGATTAAATTAATTCAGATTAAAAATATAAATAGAATAAATAATTTTTAATATAAAATTAATAATTAAAAATATATAATTATTAATAATTTATTTTTTCGGTTCTATAAAAGAAGCTCTTTTATTATTATTATTATTACTATTTTGTGATTTTACGCATAACTCAAAAAAAATATACTACCACTTTTCAACCACTGACTTTATATTAGAAACTGTATCGTTTATATATCTTTTTTTATTGTGAAATGCTTTTATCAGTATATGGACAGCTATCTCTCGAGCACAGGTTTAGGTTCGGCCTCAATGGGAAAATAAAACGGAGCATCTAACAACGTATCTTCACAGACCAAGAACTACGAGATCACCCCTTTCATTCTGGGGTGACGGAGGGATCGTACCATTCGAGCCTTTTTTTTCATTCTTTTCCCGGAAGTCTGGAGAAAGCTCCAATCAATAGGATGATCACATTTGGTTAGAAATTTTCGCTATCAATAAAAAATCCTATTATAGAAAGACATATTTATTGTCGCTGTGAATTTTGTGTAAAAAAAAAAAGGGTATAATTGTCATTCAATGACTAATAGACGTCAATTAATTAATTAAAAGTACGTTTTCGGACAAATACACGTAACTTTTCGGCCATGTTCATTTCACCGATTCGAGTTTTCAGTTTTAAGTTTATACAGTAAAAAACTCTCAAAAAATATCATATCTTTTTTTTTTTTTTTTGTTACAGTGAAAAACTCTAAAAAAATGTCACATTTCAACTCGAATTAAAAACTTTCATTGATTAACAAGTTGAACCTTAAGCCTTCAAAAGTTTGCTATTTAAGTTCTAATTATCAGATTGACATCATGTGATAGCATTGTCAAGAACCATCCAACTTAGAGACCTAACTGCCAGAATTAAAAATGCTAAAAACTTTGATAATCTTTTTCTAGGTCATGTAATTAACATAAATAATTGTTATTATTTCTTGAAAATGCTTCTTTTAGTGCTACTGTTAAGAACACCACATCTCATGGTTCTATTGACCACAACTATACTACCGTTTGAAGAAGTTTTAGCGCTATCGTGAACTTGAGAATTTTGGAAGTTTCGATTCTAACACTAAAATTGGCGTAAGCTAATCACACATCAATTACATAAGAACGTAAAATTTCACGAAAACAGTCGCATAATTACAATATATATATATATATATTATTTTCAAAGATTTTCAGGGATTTTAAAGATAACGTTTACAGCAAGTAGTCCAAACGGGTTTCGTGTTCAAAGTGAGCTAAAAAGTCGTTCACAATAACGGTTAAATATTATGTGCATGTTTAGAACTGTTTTTAAACATGATTTTCACATATTTTGAGAAGTAAAAAATAAAAATGAACGCGACAACGTTTGTTTAGTAAATATTTTAAAAATAAAAATAGTGAGAATAGTTTTTATGAAAAAATTAAAAAATAATTGAAAGATATTTTCACTTTTCTATTTTCATTTTTAATACTTATTAATAATAATATAATATATTAATTAATAAACACAATTTCATTTTTTTATTATACTCAAAACAATCTTTTAAATTACTAATCAAACGTAATTTTAAAATGAGTCTTAAAATGATTCTCAAAACAATCTCATTTTTACTTTTTATTAAAAATAAAATTATTTTAAAACTAATTTTAAACGCACCCGTGTATCTACCATATCCGGAACTTAAACCTAAGATTAGGAGTCAGTACATTGAAAACAACTCACACGTCGATTAGACACCAATTGAGCTCATAAAGTGCCTTTTCTTTTTGTCCCAATTTTTTTGCTACAATACAGAATCAAACTCGCAACCTCCCTTTAAGACCCATTCCAACCAAACCCTATGCCACTAGACCAAGCAGTCTATACCAATTATTCAAAAGTGAGCTAAAAAGTCGTTCACAATAACGGTTAAATATTATGTGCATGTTTAAAACTGTTTTTAAACATGATTTTCACGTATTTTGAGAAGTAAAAAATAAAAATGAACACGACAACGTTTGTTTAATAAATATTTTAAAAACAAAAATAGTGAGAATAGTTTTTATGAAAAAATTAAAAAATAATTGAAAGGTATTTTCACTTTTCTATTTTCATTTTTAATACTTATTAATAATAATATAATATATTAATTAATAAACACAATTTCATTTTTTTATTATACTCAAAACAATCTTTTAAATTACCAATCAAACGTAATTTTAAAATCAGTCATGAAATAATTCTCAAAATAATCTCATTTTTATTTTTTATTAAAAATAAAATTATTTTAAAACTAATTTTAAACGCACCCATGTATCTACCATATCCGGAACTTAAACCTAAGATTAGGAGTCAGTACATTGAAAACAACTCACACGTCGATTAGACACCAATTGAGCTCATAAAGTGCCTTTTCTTTTTGTCCCAATTTTTTTGCTACAATACAGAATCAAACTCGCAACCTCCCTTTAAGACCCATTCCAACCAAACCCTATGCCACTAGACCAAGCAGTCTATACCAATTATTCATTCACTCTATTAGCTATTAGGAGACATTAAGACATCGTTTATTTAGCAGATTCGAGTTTTCAATTCGAGCTGAGATGTGACATTTTCTGAGAGCTTTTCACTGTAGTAAAAAAAAAAAAAAAAAACTAAAAACTCGAATCGGTAAAATGAACGAAGCCTGTATTCTAGTATTGGATAACGTTCACTTTGAAGCATTAGACCTAGGATTCCTTCTCACAGATTTGCCTTCAGAAGGCTCATATCTTTTCAAAAGAGCCATGTGGCTCTGATAAACCTTCTACTCCAGAACTTCTATTCACCATCATTTTTAGAGCTTGAAACCATAATTTGTCTAGCATCTGTGAAAGAAAAAAATGTTACTAAAGATAAAGAGTAAAGAAGATATCCGCTATTAACAAAATTAAATGAGAATTTCCAAATATGAATTGCACCAAGTTTAAGATATAACCAGAATTTCCTAAATTGATTAGTATCTTTGTACGTTGCAGTAACATAATTTGTACGTAACCACCTGTAAAGCATGCACTCATGACGGAAAGAAGCTAAAATGACTATTACAGTTTATCCCCATCGTAAAATCTGCTATGAAATTACTGAAAACTAAGGTAAATGTATCGCAAAACATACAAAAATGATCAGAATCAGACAATATATATGTATGCATAAACATGATCAGAAAAGATAATCAAACTGGATCACTTCCTTGAGCAATATGGAAATCTAGACAACAAGATAATAATTGGATCAAATAAAAACAGACCTTTTTCATAAACGTACTAAATTTTGCTCGTCAAAACTCTTTTTTTTTTTTTTTTTTCAACTCAACAGAGTTACAGGTCCATCTTCTAGATCTGGTACCAGTTGCCAAAAACCAACTTTTACGTACTACCTTGAGATACAGAATTACAAATAATTCTCTATCTTGTACAATTGCCAAAACATCCCGGAAAAGATTCAAACACCACCAAGATCCCCAACTTCTTTTGCATAGAGTAGCAGGGCAAACATGGAGTGCTGATCGGTTACGTGGTTTATCGGCACTTAATTTAACCATTTTTGACAATATCTTTCCACCCAAGATCAAAGATCATATAGCACTTTTTACTGCTAAGAACTGCTTTAAATTCCCATTCCTTATCTTCTCAAAAACTTGTGCCAATAGAACTCATCAAAGGACAAGCGGTTTGCTGCAACAATTAAAACATCTGTAAGCAATGAATGTTTCTAAGCAAGGCTACCAAGAGAATAAATGAAATCCATAAAGTCGATCCACCCAACCTGGATTCAGAGATAGCAGTTTTAAACACATGTCAACACAATCTGGATTTAATCCAGGAAGGATTACTTTAGAAAATGGAAGACGTGTACTTGACTTTATATTCTTCAGTACCTGAAAATAGCTGAAAAAAGCTTTACTTAATGGAACTTGCACATTTGACAGGCCCTTTTAGGGGGGAATGAGGAGTTAGTACCTGAACGTTATTTCTACCACGGAAAGGAGGGTACCCATTGAGAAGCTCAAAAAGAATTGCTCCAAGACTCCACATGTCAACCTATGAAGAAGATCTACCTTTCAGTTTATCCTTATTTGAAAAGGGAAAGA